AAAGCGGATTTTGGATGCTATGGCAGTTAGGTGATGGAGGAGCTGTCTGTGATGCCCATCCTCTGTTGCTTGCACTCTCACGTCGTGATGAACTCGCTGCACCACTTTTCACGCACTCTAGCCATTAGTGAATAGGGCATCCCCTATCCCAACCGGCCCTGAATTGGCCACAGTCTCCCTGAGTGACGGATTTTTCATTTCGTGCCAATGCTATCCCTATTTCGGTGAGAGGACACAGTCAGGAGAAAACAGTCAGGAGTGCCGTCGATCAACTCCCTACAGTAGCACACGGACTTTCCTTGGAGGCTCATCGGAAATAAGGGTAGAGGTGGTCAGTGGAGCAGGGATGAAGAAGAAACGCGGCGAGTGATTAGATAGTCGGTGGGCGTACCCCGCCAACCGCGCCAAGAGTGAGCCATGCTAGATCGCCGAGGTCAAATCTTTCGCTGCCAATTGCGCGTCGGTCAGCACCCTCAGGAGGTCCGCCTGTCTCCCAACTATGCAATTTTCCCCTTCTTTGACCTTCGTTCTTATCGTGAATTCCTCCTTTAAATTTTTGATGTAATCGTTTACGGTTGCAGTCAGAGCGACAGTGAAGAAGCGAGACATGACGAAAATCATTTTTAATGCCATCTACATGTGATGTGAGGGTGGAAGTGACGACTTTACGATCTGAATTCTGAGAGACTTTTATGAGGGAGAGACTCACTCATTTAGATCCATCATTGAGTTGTGAGCTATACATGACTCCATTGCGCTCTCGATGTTGGGTTTTCCTTGAATACAATCGATAACCGGCACTATCTTATCAGGAAATCCTACACTGTCGATGACACAGTTCATCAGCTGATTCAGTATGCACTCGTTCGCTTGATGTTGACAGGAACACCTGAAATTGCAGAAAATCGGCCATATAGTATACAGAATGGGCGCAATTTTCATATCATATATTTGATAAAGTATACACAATAAATAAATAACATGAAAATACAGCGTGTCCCCCAAAGGCAAACCCCGGGATTAGCCCGACTAGTAGGAAGGATACCGCGAGGGAAATTGTAAGGTCCGTACCTACCTAGATCACTCCAGCTTCGTCGCAAAAATTGCGCGGTTAGGGCGCTAATCCTTACGGGCCTGCAACCATCGACCCCCGTTGCAACGCTTCCCACCCACTCGATGTAGAGATCAGCGTGCTCTCTCGAACGGCGTGATCTCGCGTGTTTTGTCTTCTTTGATTCTCGCCATCGTACCACATCCGACCTTATTGAAGGTTAAGGCCTTAATTTCAGCGTTCCCAAAGATTTCTCTTGCTTTCCTTTCCACTTTCAGGTCGTTCCGCAGCTCAGTCATCACTACGAAGCGCTCTTATCACCAGTTTTATCTCCGGGGTTGCCTTTATATATTACACCACGTCTGTTAGCGTGTGGCTTCAATAAACGGATCTAGTCTGCTCTTATATTTTCTATCAACAAAGTAGTAATAATGATGTTCGACATTATTTATCATGCGGTCGACTCTTCTGTTGGATTTGAGGTTTTCACGAAACCTAATTTTGCTGGAATTTGATATAATTTTTTTATCTTGGCCTCCTTCTTCCACTCATCAGGTACAGTGAGAAAGGATTTCCTGCGAATTATATCAAAATCTAAACTTTGATTTAGTGGAAGAGTCGCCATGTTCGACTAAGCTGGATGACAATAACAGTACAAACTTCAATGATCATTCTTGGGGGGTAGAGCGTTTTTGGAGAAAGCAGGCTGGTCTTCGTAGGAGCCTAACGACATTGCAACTAATGCCCTTTTCGCGGCGAGGACGTCTTACCTTACTTCTTTTGCCACCTGGTTGCCGCCTCCTTCGTACGTAAAATTCCCTGTTGCAGAGCCGTACACGCTGTCTTTAAGTTTACGCTGTGAGGCATATTTGTTTGTACATTCGCGTTTTTCTGCCACGATCTCCAGGAGGACACTTTTGTGTTTTCATCCTTCATACTTCTAGAGTCCTGAGGAACAACCAACGTCAAGTGTAGACCCAATTTTTGCCTACAACACCACATGGAAACAACGAAATGGCTTAATATTCATTATTAATAGAAATGACGGTCTTTGTACAAGGCCACTGTCAGCACACGTTTCATGGATGGAAAGTCCTGTGAGGCATATGAGGATTTCAACTGGCATATAGAAAAGGTTCCTCGAAGCTACCTGTGCCCAAATGTCGTCACATGATTTTTGCCAAAATTTTCACGACCCATGTGACAAGCGAAAGGAACTCACTCAAAATCGTTATCTCCTTTTGCAGTACAGCGTGCTTTACCGAATGGAACCAGCACCAGTTCAACGCGACCCGTTTGAGACAGCAGCGACCATGCCTTCATCAACTGTTTATGCATAAATCTGAAAATATTAATTAAAAAAGGGGTTTCCACATCGTAGCTCGGGGCACAGAATCTAGCATTCTTCATTTATTGGCCTTATGTTATCGTTCCTCAAGCAGGCCGTGGTTGACTCCCTCGTTGCTATCTTGGCCTATTCTCCGAGAGAGGAGTACTACAGGGTTGGGGGAGGGGAAGAAGACATTTTGCCTCCACATACAAATGGATTTGATCGCACTTTGCTAAATTCAAGCGATTGCTCCCGACTTAGGATTGAAGAACACACTCTTCCGTTCTATAGAAAAAATTTCATAGTGGCGTCTAGATGGGCGGCATCGGAAAAATCTGCTCAGGGAACATGATACACTGATCGAACCCAAGGTAGTAAACAACGGATCATGTACCACTACGTCGCTTTCTGAGAAGTGCGTTTTCAGGGGATTTGCATATTCAGAGCTAATGTCTCTAGGAAACTATCCAACATTGAATCGATTCACGAAATTATGTAAGAGCTTCAGGCTGAAGCAGTTACGGTAGGCCTCCTTGAGCTCGACGACGATGACAGATGACGTCATATTCTGAAGACGGTGAGGGCAGTGAAGGAGGGCCTGCGTCTACTTATAGAGGGACATTTAGGGATTTTCTGAGAAACGCCGTCAACGACGGCAATCTTTGCGATGAAAAAATCGCTGAAGTGGGATAAAACGTCTTTTCTGGCTTCTTGTACATATCACAGATCCCAGCACCAAAGAGCCGTTAGTCCTTCCCTAGGGATATCATCGAGGAATTGTGTACATCTCTCTCGGGAACCAAAGCACACGCCCCTTTATCAAACAAGCTAGACACAGGGGATGATGATTTCAGCTCTGCGGTTTACTGCCGACATTGGCTAATCGGTTCATCACGTGAGTGATTGTTGCTACGGTAACTTCACCATCGAAGCTGAGTTGGGGTGAAATGGTGCCCCGGTGGTGTAACTGGTAGCACAATTGCCCGGAAAGCAAGAGATCCGGGTACGAATCCCGGCTGGGGCGAAAGTTTTGCCCACAACTCAGCATTTTTTGTGTGGTTGACTTTGTTTTTTTCATGCTGCAATTTCATTTCTCCTTGGTAGAAAGAAAAAAGCTGTACATGGTTACTAGGACTTTTCAGTATTATAAATTCTATTCAAGGACGCGGTCGTAGATGGACGCTGCTACCTCTCTGCGCAACTATCTGAAGCATTAGGCTATCGTAAGGAGAAAAATAGCAACGAAATGGGCCATAGCGGAAATACATACCGAGAGGTGTCGGGACACTGTGACTCCATGTAGATTTCCAGTTTTACGGTGTTTAGTTTAGGCGTCGCCGTGCCGTTTCTGGGCATCCATAATCTGGACTTATTCGACTTTCCCGAATGCTTTATGAAATCATGAGTAATTTAAATATTAAAATTTGCCTAATGGGTCTGCTTCGTCAGCAGGCTGAGCTAATGCTCTGCCAGTTAAATGGAATCTGGTCTTGCTGAAGACGAGTAAGCTTGAAACGAGGCTTTTTTTTTCGAGAAAATACAAAAAACGTTTGAGAGGTTTCCAATCCTGTATACATGCCTCATTTCCTCCCTTTCCTTTAATAAGGTAGTAAAATTATCGCACTATTCAAGTGAGAAAAGTAAAGGAAGAATAATCTGTTACACTAAATTGCTACCGTATCGCAATTGAAAATGTAAAGATTTGTTAGTTTATTTTTTGTCATTTTTACTACATTCCCCGGGCTGCACAGTGAATCCAGTATGCGAAATCAATGCAATTATTGAAAGGTTATTGTTCAAAATTTGAAAATTGAATGTTTTCGAACATGGTTCACCTGCAAGCTACGTTACCTGGGAGGAGTGAAATAGAGGAGTGCCCACTGTCCAGCTATCTCGCAATTTTGAAAAAAGATGCCCATCGGTGGTAAGAACTCACCACCACGGCAGCCCAGTGCGAGGTAAAGTTGCAAGTACGATCCTCACTAGTATCCATTTAGGTTACCCTGAAAGAGGCCGCGTGCGCGCGGCAGCACAGGCGGAGGCGCAGACGCTCAGCGGACGAGATTGCAGTGTGTGTGTGAATTTGGATCGTGTACTACATGCCGTCGGTACTGCATGCCAGTAACAACGCTCTCAGTACTCCGCCGCTGTGACCCACAATAAACCTTCTGCGAATCCGTAGACGGGGGTCATATTTGCGGTGCGGTCCGCTCTCCTGCCACCAAAGCAAGTACGACGCCCTGTCGACGAATCTCCAGTCGTTGCTCACCATGCGCACTACTCCAGCCAACTCCGCCCACGTGGTCAGCGTCGAATTTACCTTCGAACCGGCGCTTTTTTGAACGAATAAAAATAATATGTACACAGATATAAATGAAGTAGTGATCACCGAGTAGCTGCTCACTTCCAAAAGAATCGATTTGCTTGCGATAAAATCTGCCAGGTGATTAGAGCAATTGCGACGGAAGAATAAACACTGCAGGTTCTCCAAATCTCGTTCGAGTAATATCAGCGGATGTGGACGAGTTGTGGAACGAGTTGGCGGTAATTCGGCTCGGATTTGGACGAGATAGACGATCAGCATTAACGCCACCAACAACAGCATTTTCTACAGAAGACGTAACAAGCAGCCGGTGAGGCCGATGATGTCACTCTGGAAACCACTATGCGAAGATTTTGTCAAGGAGCTGGTTAAGAGGAGAGCGAGGCGCTATCGCAATATACGGGGGCATCCTCTAGGACTAAGCCTAGAGGGGCAGGAGCTCTGGGGAAAATGAAAATGGCTCACGCACCTTGGAGTCTCTCCTCCCCCGCCAAGGCTTAGTCCCATTTTTAACAAAGAAAGCCATTCTTTACGCGATTTATAATGCCCCCGTATATTGCGATAGCGCCGAAAAGCGATTTAATAATTCGGATGGCACTCCAGCAGTGCTAGCGATCTTCAAGAATAACGCTGGTCAATGGAAATGGTTCAACGACGGGTTCCCCGTGAACCGGTCGGTTACTGCTCTACAATTTGTGAACAATAATAAATACTAATCAACACGCTTTTTTCCCCATTACAGTACTCCCCAATCCACCGCAATAAGCGGGGTGACAATAGCTTATAGCCCTTCTTTTTCGAGAACACGGCTATACGATCAGTTAGTAACTGGTTCCTTATTAGCGCCTCCCTAACCATCACCACCGCAAACCACCATTATCTGCTGTCCAACAAGTCACTAAGAGGTTTATGTCGGATACGTCAATCTGGTTTCGGCACAAAGAACAGCTCCGAAGTAATTTAACACTTGTCAGTCTGTAATTGCGGGCGAACCACCTAAAAACACGACAGTATTCAGACAGAATTGGTGAAAGCGAACCGACAACAAGGAACAGGTGTGCATCATGAACGTGACAGACGACCGGCCGATAATCGGATACAGAGGGATAGTGAAAGCGAAAACAAGAATTATCTCGATCGTTCGCGTCATCCTCAACGAAATCTGGCTATCATTAGACGATCACCTGATAGTGGAGTCCCCCGCTTGCATAGCAAAGGCTCAGACTTGATGGCTTTTCTGGTGCTGTGAGTTCGGGGATCCAAACAGCTGATGGATCTTCTTCTGCATCCGTCAGCCAAGGCTTATCCATTAAAAGCAGAATTTCAGGGTTCACGTTGTTTTCCGCGAAGTTCCACCCGCTGATTGACCCACATGAAAATCATATGCACATCGGCTAAAGATATTTATGGGAACTTCGACCTATTTCTTTAGCGTTGCTTTTAATGGCAGATTTTCCAGTAGCCTGATGTTCGTAAAAGGTGTTTGAGAAAAACGAACACCTCTTGATAGGGAAAAATCTTATGTGAAAAGAGGGGGCTGTCAACGCACCCGGGGCGGCTCAAGGTAGCTGGGTTGGGCGCGGCGGGAGATCCGCGCGTGTGCCCCCGCTCATGCCAGCTCGCGCGTATGCGGACAGCGTGAGTTTCGAAGCGCTTGTCTAGCAAGAATCGTCCGCTCGTCGGGCGCTCGGCGTGCGCCACTTGCGCGACTTCGCAAGGCGGCACTCTTCGAAGAGCGTGAAACTTTTTAACAAATTTGACGGTTGGAGCAGTTTATTGAAAATGAATACCAAAGAATAGGCCTAATTGATGTGCCTGTAATATTCAAACTCAAATTACGCTCACAGAAACTCGTTCACTGCAGTTGCGACGTAGCTGACACGACAGTGACCGTGGGGATCCTTACAATTCTGTTGATATACACTCGCATACATTAAAAAATTACTTCTTTACGCAATAGTGAACCTGCTCTGCGGTGGGGGCGTGATCAAAAGTCCCAAAGGACAAGACGTGTTCGGACCCGCAGGTACCGACGCAAGCAGTGACATGTGAACCTCTGCCGATAGAAATTACACGATGCTCCTTGCCAAGCGAGGCAGTCATTCGTCTGACAGATTTCAAAATATTCCCTTCCAAATGACACATCACGACCTTTTCCCCTCCCGAACAAGCAGAGAGTTCACATTGGCACCATCATTCTTAAATATCGCGGAAATTGAGAAAAACTTTGGCTTTCTCCTTTCTCAACTTTTTCCTAGAGAAGCGGAACCAACTTCTCCCCGGCTCTCGAGGTAGTACCCGGGCACGGATGAACAAGTTCAGGCAAACAGGTCGAAGATGGATTGGTGCCGTTAAAGTGAAAAACCAGAAGCGACGGCGGTGGTCAAAGGAAGGACTTAATGAAATAAAGGAATTAAGTTGTAAGAGCGGATCCAAACCCAGGAATGGGTCGGCCAGGTTTTGGTCCACTAGGGTTTAAACGTAGTATCCACGGCATCCTTCTGCAGTAGGTAGAATGGCGGCATAGGAGCATCAGACTCCGGCGTAAAAAGGCTCGAATGGAAGTTGTGCCACGGCGATGATGACTAGAGGTAGTGTGATGACGAGCAATTCCGTCTGCTCTTTATTGCGTTGAAGGACGTATTATAAGACGCCAGGGTAAAGGAACTCGTACCACTTGGCACCGAGCAGGAAGCTCTCGTAAAAAAGCTCCATCACCCAGTAGGCACTATTCATTAGTTATTGGCCACAAGTAGTTAGTAATACATTCTGAAATCACCAGAGTGCTGCATTTCAGCGCCAGTCGATCTCACAAGGCTTTACATCTTAGCTAACCTGGCAGTACTTAGCAATGGAGAACGTAAATAAATAAATAGATAGATGTGCAATCGAGAAGCTCAACACCCCCAAACAAGAATGACTTACAAGGTAAGTTTCCTAAGGATTTTCAAGGATTTTTTCAGCGGAGACCGAAAACGAAATCGAATTTGTTAGTGGTTCGAATTCGTCGCTACACGTCCAAGCATTTAACTTTATCTCGGCGTAGGACATCACTCGCTTTAAGATCAGATTGGGTTTGTGTTTTTTTTTGGCCCTACCCTTATGTTTCGGCTAGCTCGCTTTTCAAGCCTGCTCAATTGAGATCTCTCGAAATCTCAGAAGGAAAAAAAGACATCCTGATTTTTTTCAGGTTTCGTTAGCAATAAAGGATAAAGCATTTGCCGTTGATCAATCCCTTTTTACATTCGTAGTGGCGTTTGAATGCGATGTGGCCTATACAATGACTTGCGGGGCCAGCCGATGTACAAGTCAGTGTTTTTATCCTCCCAGACAAGTCTGGTACCAATTAACCGACCCCGGAGGGATGGAAGGCTTGGTTGGCCCGGGCGACTCACGACCCAGGATTTGATCCCCGGACCGCTCGCGTGGTGACAAGGTTGTACACTCTTATCCGAAACAGAGATAGCAACAATAGGTGGCATGCGAGGATGAACATAGGGGAGCTATCAGGAACAGAACAGAAGGACAAACAATCGTATCATCCCATAAAATCCAGATGGCCACTCAAGTGGCCACTGGAAACCTGAATGTCGATGCTATCGCGAACTTGAAATCAGATTCATCCAGAGAGAACGAAACTTGCCAATGGAACCAAATCGCCCCCACGAGCTGACTCTGGATTGGGCAACGAAAAGCCTGAGCATCAAATATCGGACGGTTGTGCCAAGAAGACGCAATGCACAACTGAATTCTAAGTAGCAATCCCAATACACGTTCAGAGAAGTGCTACTGCGAGACGGCAGACCAAAACATTCCTTAGTACTGTGGGATGCTATCAGCACCCTTTGGAAAGCTTCCTTGAGAAGGAGAAAAAACGATCGGGGCCAATAGAATGTGCTCAACAATGGAATGTGCCGGCCACCTCATGCATAATGCTGAAGCCGAGAACACAATGACGAATATCGCATTGTGTGATTTTACACTAAGCCATGAACATGTTCCGGTTGGTGTAACCTTGTCGCACGATTGTTTATTGCTTTCACTCAACAGATTACTTTACAGATCAGACCAGAGCAGGACAACTGAGGAAGCTCACGGACTGACTTATAGCAGTAGAATCCAGTAGTACCAAGACTTCCCTTGGTACCGTCGTCCTTTCGTCAATAGTTAGTGTGACGTAGAAACCAGAGGAATATACCGATATCCAGGACGACAATAGAGAAAAGGAAGTGAATAAATCGTCCAATTTTGGAGTCC